AGGGACAGCTCACAGGAGCCACAGGGCAGCCAACACAGGCTCCGCACGGCTGCTGCAGGAGGCACCGGACTGCAGTGAGGGGGAGGGGCTGCTTTTCCCCCATGCCAAGCACACTTCTGTCCCACTGGTGATGCTGCTACTGCAGCTGTTCTGTGTGAGAAGATGAGTCCTCAGCAGGCACGGGGCAGGCCGGAGATGTGCGTGGGTCCCTACCAGTACTGTGGGGCTGGGGCAGTGGTAATGGCAGCCATAAGGAGCTGCCACTGCCCAGGCTGCCTAGAAAGCAGTCCAGCTGGAGAGCCACCAAAGCCCTGCTGTGTATCCAGGGTGCGGCAGGACATGCCACAGCAGGATGGTGCCTGGGCTAGGTGGGACCAAGGGACCCACCACAGCCCGGACAAAGCCATATTTTGCCCACCCCTGATCCAAACTGTTTCCCACAGTCCAGAAGCTCCTCCAACTCATGTCAAGCAGAGTCCAGAATAGGGGGAATACAAAAGTGGCTGAGCCCAAAAACAAAGCAACATAGAATCAGGGCCATAGAATTCCATGAAATTATTCCTTGTTTTCTTTAGTATAAGTGAGAGAATGCTCAAGCCTTACATCTTATCGTAAGCATTACAGTATTTTAGACCAACAGTTTGGAATACTATAGCTTTTATTTGATAAGCAGGAGAAGCTCTTACTCAACAGACAATCAACTTAGTCAACTCAGTCAATTTTTAAGATATACTGGGTGCATCTACAGAAGACATTTACTGCACAGTTGACTAATTAACTATACAGTAAACATCTTGGCATCTACATACACACTCCTACTTCTACAAAACTAACCAACTCTGCAGCAGGGTAGCACTTGTAAATACAGGGTTTCATATGTTCCCAGGTGCACATTCAAATGGCATATCCAGGAGCAAAAACCTCTGGAGCAATTAGCATATTCATGCACATTAATCATACATGTAGATATGCTCGCTGAGGCCATATTCAGCCTTAAGTTACACCTCTTCAACCCTAGAGATTTCAAAGCAGTCATACATGCCAAATAGTGGAAAGAATATGGGCCGTTTTAAACATCATAGAAAAAATGTTAATAGTGAAGGTCAAATTACTTCACGCAGTATTATACTCCTATTCATACAAGCATAGCAGTGCTTTTATTGCTTGTTCCTGCCATTAATCTAATGCAAAAACTGCCCTACCTTTCATAATGCAACCATACTGCACATTCACACCTACCATCATATTTAACTCTATTTGTATATATGAGTCCTGGGAAAACCTAGACAGCTATCCCTGTTGCCTCATGAAGCTGTACCAGCAGTACATGGGTACACTCTAGGATGTCCTTCTCCACAGAGATCCGAGGAGGACTGGCACATTGGAGGAAGGGAACCTCAAATACGTATTGCAAAAAAGCCACATGCCAAAGCAACTCCAAGGAGGCATTTGCATGTCGGCCAAGGTGATGAAAAAGGGCAAACCAACTACCATAGTCACTGATGATTATTTAGATTGTTAAAGGCCAAATCATGCTATTTGGATACACCTGGGCCCTGAACATATGTATCGCATGATGCACTCCAAACATACAATGAACATACAGACATTTATTAGGCCTGTGTGAAGAGGAAAGTATTCAATTTGGATTCAGCGGACAGTGATTCGATTCCGAGATTCGGATCACTGTCCTGAATCAATTCAGCCAAATCAGCTTTGGAAGATTCAATGCTGATTCAGAGAGATTTGGCGATTCAGATTGGCTGGGGAGAGGCAGGCACAACTGGGCAGCTCCTCCAGCTGTGCCT